GTCATGTGATTTGGCTACGTCCCTATGTTTTGTTCCCTATGAAATATGAATAACCTTAATTTTTTCTTCCTCTATGTACCTTCAATTCATACGATTTCTGTCCTTGCACTTTTCTATATTTTTTTACAAAAGCTTTATTAGTCATTAATCTAAGGATTTTACATCTTATAAAGAAATTTATATATAGATCATGTTTAATATTAGATGTTGCTACTACATTTTGAGCCCGGTTCCATGGCGACTGGATTCCAATGGCCACGGAAGCCACTGTCCCCCTACGGATATTCGTTCAGAAAATTGATGATTCTTACCCTCTCTAACCCTCCCGGTAAACCCCCTGCCAAGTCCCGACCCAAACTAATCACCCCACCTACGTCAATTGCACCTCGAAAGTATAAAGTCAAAACTTTTGACTTTAAAGTCAATTATACTCACGAGGTGCAATTGACGTAGGTGGGGTGATTAGTTTGGGTCGGGACTTGGCGGGGGTTTACCGGGGGGGTTAGAGTGGGTAAGAATCATCGATTTTATAAACGGAGATCCGTAGGAGGGCAGTGGCTTCCGTGGCCACTGGAATCCAGTGGCCATGGAACCGGGTTCCTACATTTTTGTCTAACAGAGTTTGCCAAACAAGTATGGTGAGATAATTACTCCCTCCGTCCCTAAATAAACTTTCCTTTTCGTTTTTTCTTCGTCCCCAAATAAACTTCTCTTTTCCCTCAAAAAACCCCTTTTACCCCTTACTTTTTCATACCCTACCTATCACATCATACTTTTTTACTAATAATCTACATATCACATCTTACTTTTACACATCACATCAAGGGTATTTTTGGAAAGTCAACACAAAAAATATTCCTCCCTTAAATTCTCAAAAAGTCAAAAAAGGAAGTTTATTTAGGGACGGAGGGAGTATATATTCTCGAATAGGGAATTGGAAAGATATAAATAAATTTACCAGGATTATAGGAACATGTGCAACTAATGGGCGGCCTGAAGGGTGTGTCAGGTGGCCTCCGCATAGGGCCTCCAAATTTATAGGGTCCAATTTTATTATAAATTTATTATTTTAATTACTTGATATTATTCGATTTAATATGAACTTATTTTTTATTATTCAAATTACACAGGGCCAATCTCATTTTTTATATTCCCGTGATGGCCCTGTAAATATGATCTAAAAAAGAAATTATGAAGATCATTCCAAAAAAAATAGAAAGCTAGCTAATTTGGGATGAATTTATTAATAGAGTATATTCTTTCTTACTCCATCGGTCCCTAAATATTTTACAAAATAAAGCAAAATTTCAAGTTTTTTAAATTCATTTTATTTAAAGATTGGTTTAAAAATAGAATATAAAACTTACATATTTAAAAGCTACTGCAAAAGTTCTACAAAATAAGAGGAAGTTAAAACTTACATATCAAATAATCAATCAAAACGCATGTTAGTAAAGAATATAATCCCTTTTGGGATGGAGGGAGTATTAGAAAATACAAGGGCAGTTACATTCATAACTATCACTATAAGCAAATTAATTGTAGTACATTAGGTAATATTTCTTCCATCCCAAAATAATTTACATATTTTCTATTTGAGTTTCTCAATAATTTTTGTTTACTGTGTTTGCATAGGTCATTTTATAAAATAAAGTGCTCTTGCGCATATTACTTTGTAAAATTTTTGGTATAATCTTTAAATATATAATTTATACCTTTTATTTCTATATGAAATTATAGGTAAAATAAATCTTAAAAAAAAGATAGGATTTCATAAATTATTCGAACAATGTAAGTATATACGGAGTATATATGAGAAGGAGGAAGTATCTAATTCATAGATGGGCCATTATCATAGCTAGCTGGGTTAGCAGGCTTCCTGTTACTTACTAAACACCATCCGCATATCAGCCTAAGAAAGATAGCCTATAATTTGGGCTTGGGCCTTGAGCCCTTGAGAGCAAAAAAGAATTTCAAGGCCGGAACCAAATTCATAAGCCCTTGAGCCCTTGAGACCAAATCACCATTAATAACCTGTTATGGAGTAAATAATTCGGAAAATGGGCCTTCCGTCATCTTCTTTAATTATCGTAGCCCACCATAACTATAATGTTTGGCAAAACCCCCTCACATTTGGGTAATATGTTTAACCCGATTTAACAACACAAACTCTTTGATTAATTATTCAAATCATATGTAAGCGTCGAACATTTCTTTTGTATAGACAAATTTTTGTATGTACGTAAAGTCTGTAATGGATCTTCATATATGTCAAATAAGCATTAACTTAATATTGATATAAATATTTTTAAACTTTTTTTTAAATAAGAACAAAAAAATGCGTGAAAAGAATATCTGAAGTTCAAATGAATGAAATTTTTTTAACAAAATCAAATTTAATTTTGTTAACAAAATCAAATTTTTTATTCTTACCATAATTTTTTTTCTACTATAACAAGAATCGATCGGAAGAACTATGAAAGTCACCCAACCGAATTTCAAAGGGATTTGGTTTCTTTTTCTATGTCTTTCTCTCTCACAACAGATTATTCTTCTACAAAAAATCATAAAATACAACAAGCAAGAGATTTTTGGAAAATTTTAGTTTACGGAGTACAAAAAATTGTTTCCAATAGATTTTCGACTCAACATACAAACATAAATAAAATAATACCCCGGTTCTCTTGACATTATTTAGCAATGTCATGGGATGACATTGCCTCTAACTCCCCCAGGAGACCCTACCCTGCCCCCGACCCAAACTCACTCCTTTCAATTGCACTCGCAAGTTTATTTGACTTTGGTGTCAAAATTTTGACTGCAAAGTTAAATAAACTTGGGGCGTGCATGCAATTGAAAAGGTGGAGGATGAGTTCGAGTCGAGGCGTGGTGGGGGATTTACCGAAAAGTTTGAGTGGTAGAAGCCGTAAATTTTACAGAAGGAACATCGTATGTCATTGTTAAGGAATGTCATGGGAACTATTTGTATAGAATAAATACAATTATATAGCCAAAACACTTGAAGTATATATATTATAGTGAAACCAGAGACTAAGCAGGGATTTGAATGAGTTTTTGCAACACCCAATCTAAGCCATAGCAGAAAGAAACATGCATAAGAGTTGAGAAATGCGTGACAAGTGTCTTTTTTATTTTAAATTGAATCACAAATTATATACTTCCTCCGTCCCAAAAAATCTTTCCTGTTTCATTTTTTGCGTATCTCATAAAACACTTATATCCCGCCTTGAATGCCAAAAAAACTTTCAAAATAACTTCTACCCACAATAAAGAAGAAATGTTGTAAATTTTAGGCATTTTAAATGTCGGTAGAAGTGTTTTATGGGATGCGTAAAAAATGAAACAGGAAAGATTTTTTGGAACGCATGGAGTATGTTACATGGCATTAAATAAATCCAAATAGAAGCAAATTAAATAAGAGGGAAGACTTTGTGGCATGGCTCTTACTTGCTTGTCCGGAACATGTGACATGGACACGATATAAAGTTGTGTGTTATTAATATCACAATTAGCTTGGAAAAAAAAAGAGAAGAGGGAATGGTGACGTTGACTATCCGTAGGGCATCCCCCTCACGCATATGCCATGCCATGTCCAAACAACGTACACTTCGTTACATTACATTTAACTACAAACCAAACTTTAAAAAAAAAGGTGAAATTTTTGGCCAATAATTTCAACTTTGAAGTTTTAGTTTGAGTGATGATCCTTGAGAAATAATAATATTCAAAGTTTCTTTCAATGTTTGGCAAATAATTCATTTACTTTTTGGAAAATGTTGCTATCAATTTTTAATTAACATTATTTGCGTTTTAAGCTACATTTTAATCTAATTTTCAAGTTTCAGTTATCTATTTCTAAAGTTCAGTTACTAAATTTTGACTCAATGTAAAATGAAGGCGAAAAAATCAATTGCTAAAATCGATTGGTAACAATTTGAATGTCGGAAGAGATTCTTATTGCTTACCATTAGTCATATATGGGTCAAAATCTAATATTAATCGTTCAAAATCATTTAATACCACTTGTTGGAATCGATGGAATTACTATTACTGACCGGTCTTTATCTTGATGAACTTGACCGTTTGACTTTGATGAATGTCATTCATCAATATTCATGACATTTGAGATTGATTGGTCATGACTAATGGTTCAAACCTGGTCAAGTTGAATGTGATTTAAAATATTTATCGATTGATAGTGGAAGACATCGTTGATGCAAAAACACATATCAACTGGATTCACATGATGGTGATAAAGCATTGGTCAACACTCAACACTAACAAGGCAGTTGTGTTCTCTTCTCCATGTGAATTCCCATTTCAGTCAATTTGAGAGGATTCAAATATCAGAAACTAGCAATCGTCTTCCCTCTTACTACAATATTTCGTCTTATATTTTCTCTATATTTTAGTTTATTACTCCAAATTAGACTTAACTCATTATCTTTACTATTATCAATTCAGAATAGTAAAACATGTTGCAACATTTGGGTAGAAGGGGTGACTTATTTACTACTACAGTCCACATCAAAAAAGTTAATCTCCAATCACTGGGATCTTTTAATACTCAACCGGATAGTAGGTTGTGAGAAGATAAATCAAATAATAATCTCGAGATGGTATGATCTATCACGGATACATATTAGATTCTCATATATATGGTCATTTTTTATCGTTGCTGACAGAAATCGAACACGAAATTACCTCTTGTACCACTCTCTCTCGACAAACCAAGATAGGCCCCATCAACTTACTCCAACCAAGGGGTATTACCTTACCTGCAAATCCTGAAATCCTATTGCTGTACGAGTAGATTAAAACGAAGCTGAAAGATTTAGCTCTCCAGTCCTACTACTATTGCTATACTGCTGTAGATTTTGTTTTTTTTTTACAGCGGAGAGAGAAGAAGTCTGTTTCAGCAAGGGGACACATCATCAGATTCTTTCTTACATAACACTTCCATATCATATCAGAGAGAAGAGAGAGAAGAAGAAGAAAAAGAAGAAGAACACTCCACAATATAATTCCAGTGCTTTCCCACCGTCCTTCGCCGGAGGGGCATGAGAATCTGCATTTTGATGCGGATTCGAAATCTGGGTCTCCCTCAAAATGCAATCTTTAGGCAAGTCCAACCTCGATTTGGAGACAGGCGGTGACGGCGGCCGGTCTTCCGGAGAGGAACTCTGCGGCGGCGGCGGCGTGGCGGCGGAAAAGGGAAGGAGATCTTCGGCGGCGTCGGAATGCCTGGTGGATGTGGATCTGGAAAGTGGGGACCGGGAAAACGAAGGGCATTTGGGGAAACCTGTGAGGGATTGCAGGATATGCCATTTGGGGTTGGATGCAGAGAATCCGGACTCTGGCTTGCCCATTGAACTGGGCTGTTCTTGCAAGGACGATTTGGCTGTTGCTCATAAACACTGTGCTGAGGCTTGGTTCAAAATTAGAGGAAATAAGTAAGTTTTCCCTTTAACTTAATCCCTATATTTATTTATTTATTTCTTCTTTCTTTACCTGTTCTGATTATTTAATTTATTCCTTCAAAAAAGAAAATATAGTACGGAGTATGAAGTTTTTGGTTATGTGCTTTAAATACAGAGTGAATAAGTTTTATTTTTGAATTTTAAATCAAATTTTTAACAAGAATCTTGAGGTTTGAGTTTCTTGTCTATAATTGGAGATTTTGCAGCATATCACTTGTTGATGTATCCCCTTCGAAATATCTTGGAGTACTTGGCTTCACAAACAAAAAAAAAGATCTTTTTTTAGAGTATTAAACTTTATTTTTGCCTCCAAATACAATTTTTTTGATAAATTGGTTAGTTCACATGTGTCGAAGGAACCAACCCCATCAAAAGCTCAAGTTGCACTTGAAAATTTACTTTTTAAAAATTGAGGTTGGTTCTAAATCTTTGGCCCCGGAAAGGTTTTATATACTCTAAGAACATGATATGCCTTTGATTTAGAACTTACGAGTTCAAATCTCGTTATCATCCGCTTTCAGAAGATACTTATCTTCACATGTTTGAGGGCAAATAAAAATCGCATCTACACGCGAGATAGGAAACTTATAAGAATATAAAACATTCCTTGGACCACAAACTAGAGACAAATTTCAACTTACTTTCACTCAATTTACTCCTCAAAACTGAGCTATGAAGAAGAAGAAGAAGAAGCTCAAAAGTAGTAAAAGCAACAATTGTTGGGTTTCTTGGGTTTGTTTGTGTTTTAGTTTATTTTCATTTTTTGCTTCTGTTATATTCCTATAGTTCAGTGGTGGATGGTAATGATTGAGTTAATGGGGACAGATTGGGTGGAAATTGGATAGTGGAAAATCTTTATAAGAATGCTTTGGAAAATGGATGATGTTGATGTGTTGAACAAACAAGTGTTTGGTTGGGTAAATGGATCCTAAAGTGGATATAAGTTGGAAAAAATACAAATGTATCAGTTGGAAGAAGAACCTCTTACTCATCCTTTTTTTCTAACTATGGGGTTGACTTTGCAATGCCCATAAAAGTCTCTATGTGTTTCTAAACACAAATTTTTGGTCTTATGATTGCCAAACCATACCAAAACTAACCATCACTTTCATATTGCATTCATACCAAGTAGAGTTCTTCATTGCTTTGAGACCGGATCAGACTGGACCGGACCCAATGACGAACCTATGGTTCGGTATGGACCAAATGGTGAACACCCTTAATACAAAGTTGTATAGCAAGAAACATTGTCTCGGAATTAGGGCCGTGTTTGGTCGAATCCGAATATTTTATATCATCAATGTCATGATTTTGGGTTCACTTAGGTGGCTTCTTTTCAATTCATATCTAAATATAATGTCTCTTTTTCATGAAAATAGTCCAAGTGAAAGACATAAGATTTGGAGCCCCTTCATTGCTTGCAACCATACTTATTTTATTCCCCATAATTATTTTATTCCCCATAGTTATTTTATTCATTACTTGCAATCATGAGCTTGGAATGTTACCTTTTCAAAAAGTTTAATCATCTAGAAACTTATCAGGACTTGCGAGATATGCGGATCGATAGCGCAAAGCGTGGTCGACATAAATGATGCCGAGCACGATCCGGAGCACTTGGAGCAGTCGAGCAACGCAAGTACAGCTACGGTGACCACAGAACTGCCGGGACCCACGACCGGATCCCGAGACTTCTGGCAAGGTCACCGTTTTCTGAACTTCTTGCTAGCTTGTATGGTGTTTGCCTTTGTCATATCTTGGCTCTTTCACTTCAATGTACCCTCATGATTATAAAGATCCCTTGATGAAAAAAATGGAACATCTGGCTATGGTGCATGCAGAAGAATTGATGATTATTATAATGTTGTTCAAACGAGCACCAGAGCTCCCTCAAATTTGTAATATTCCATGTTGTAATGATGTTATATTGTGTGTGTGTACGTTGAATCAATATAAAAGAGCATTTCCTTGTAACTTAAAATGAACAATTCAATGTTGTTCCTAGAATATTATCTCCAATTTAATTGTCCACATTTCAAAAACAGTAACACAAGTTATATAAAAAAAGATAATTAGTACTCCGTATAATAAAACTAGTCACTGCTTTGTTATACATGATACCTCAATGGGTGATTTAAGTAATTTTATTTCGAAAATATAGGAATTACATAACTAGTTATACATGTCCCTTTGAAAAAATGGATAAATAGGTGTTAGAGTCTCATCCCACATTGGAAACTCAAGATCAAAATAATCAGTATATAAGCTCTTGAGTTGAACTAACTAATCGATTAGGTTCAATCTTTTAATGTTGTTCAACTCAAGTGATTCTTACCTCATCCTAAATTCTATCAATAAGTTTGGACGGATGAAGTTTTCTCTCTGTCCCGTTAACCTGTTTGTTCAATTTTTTTATTTAATTTAAGAAAAGAAATTAAGTGATATTGGGTCTGTTTGGGAATAGCGTTAGAGATTAGCGTTAGCGTTTTGAAAAAGCTATCTACGGTCAGCGTTTAGCGTTAGCGTTTTCAAAGTAATCTGAACCGTCAAAATTCTATCCAAAATGCTAACGCTAATCTCTAACGATATTCTCAAACAGGCTTATTGACTTTTTCTTTTGAAATGGTTTGTTTGTCCATTTAATTGTCATCTTCTAATACTCCAACTGTCACTCTCTCTCCTTATTTATTTTTTGTTAGTGTAATACGTAACTTCGTAAAGAAAATGGACAAATACACTACAAGAGAGTATGATTTTTGAAAAATATTATTTAAACATGGATATAAAATCTAAATAATGGATATTGACCATGTCAAACCGAATAAAAGTTACTCTTCTAGAAAGAAGCCATAGAGGGCATACCTCTCGGAAAAGTTTCCTGAGATGAATCGAGGATGTTAAAAGTGATGGCCATAATTTATATTATTGATCTTGCTCAAGCTTATTTGATGATGTTTAATTAGCTCGAGTAAATTATCTTTGCAAGTGGGTGAACTATTAATGTTTCAGCAATCGAACGTGGTTGGGATCCATGGCGTTACCAAAAGTGGATATGTTAATGTTATTATCACTAGGCTTACTTCAGAAAAGTGAAGATTATTGAAATCTAATTGTATACAGTGAAATGGCAAACAATACAATTCAAATGCTAGTACTATTTGACATTGATACCTCTATTTTCTTTATCCTTTAAACCCTTCCACTTTTGACTTCTGCCAAAAATAAGAAAAGTATAATTTTGATCGACTTTCCAATTTTGTCCCTGATGTGATGGGTAAAAGTAAGATGTGATAGTTTGGTTATAAGAGAAAAAGTATGGTGTGATAGGTAGGGTATGAAAAAATAAGGAAAAAAAAAGTTTTTTAATAGAAAGTAGAAATGTTTTAGGGAATTCAAAAAAAAACGAAAGGGGAAAGGTTTTGTGGAGCGGATGGAGTAAATACTTCTTAGTTGTATATACTGTCCTTCATTTCAATTTTCAAGTATTCTACTCCCATCGTCCCCAAAAAGATTGGTACATTTTGATTAAAGTGGTAAAATAAGGAGGGATATTTTGGTGTTGACTTTCCAAAAATACCGTTGATGTGATGAGTAAAAGTAGGATGTGATGGGTAGGTTATTCGGAAAAAGGTATGATGTGATAGGTAGGGTATGAAAAAGTAAGAGATAAAAGTGGTTTTTTAATAGAAATGTAAAGGACTTTAAGGGACGCAAATTTTTCGAAACGTAACTGACTTTTTGGGACGGAGGGAGTAATTACTAGTCTTACCTTTTGTTCGCTCTTTTCAATAATACCTTGTACTCCCTCCGTTTCTCAAAACGGTTCTTGTTTTGACTTTGAGGGAAAAAAAGGAAAGTGTAATTTTAGTTGACATACCAATTTTGCCCATGATGTGATGGGTAAAGTAAGAAGTGATAATTTAGTTATTACTGAAAAAGTATGATGTGATAGGTAGGGTATGAAAAAGTATGAGTAAAAGTGGTTTTTTTAATAGAAAAGGGAAGTGTTTTAAGAAAAATAAAAAAAATGAAAGAAGAAAAGTTTTAAGAAACGGAAGGAGTAACAATTAGGGAGCATATGTTTCTACTCGTCTCTTTTTACTCTTTATTTGTTAATTGTTAGTAATATGGTGCGCGTTGCGTAGTTGAAAAGACAAAAGGTGTCAATGGAGCAAGATTCGAGTTTGATTCCTCACAGCTGAGCATAGAGCCTCTACCTGTGCAGGTTTCATTCCTTGCCATCAATATGCAATTAGAACTCAATTTAATTCTTTTCAGTGACTATCCAGCCGGGTTTGAAGGGTTCTCAAAGATGGGGATCATCTTTTTTTTGTTAATTGTTGTACTCCCATAACTTTATTCCCGTTGCACAAAAAATATCAAATTTTTTCATTCTATTTTATTGGAATATTGGTATAAAAATAAAAATGAAACTTATTTAAAAACTATATCTAAAGTTCAATAAAACAATTGATAACATAAATATTTTAATGTATCATATAGGTCACGAAAAATGCTAAAGAATAAAAATTCTCGTGGAGTTGGAATAATGTATTGTGAAGAAAAATATGGGACAAAGGGAGTATATAATATTAGATCAAGAAAACTTAATTCGTTATCCTTGACATAGTAAAAAACAATTAACTCGAATAACTTGATTTACATGATCATATATAAAAAAATATAGTTTATATAATTAAAAATTACAATAAAAAATATACTAAACAAGTGCTATGATTATTTTACATAATTAAATAATTAATAAAAATATATACTAAAAAATTATAATTTGACTCTATAAATATGATAAGAAAACTAAAGGAGTAGTCTAATTTATCTTCTTTTTAATTCAATGTTGGTTAATACTCCCTAACTTAATATGGAGTATAGTGTATCATTGGAAGGTTTTAAAAAAATAGAATCATGATAAGGTAACTCCAAATGGTTGCTATTGTGGGTGCAATTAAATGATTTTGTTGCCTCTAGACGGGGCACGCCGTGTTGCCTGGGCCGACAATGCAATGTACCCTTAGTCCGAATCTTTTTACTCCCTCTGTTCCTCTGTATTTGTCCACATTTAACTTTTGGAATTGTTCATCTAAGCTCTTTGACTCATCAAATTCTCTCAACGTGTAAGCCTAAATATAGTCATATGTGATCTTGTTTGATTTGTCTTAACATATAGATTATTAATATATAATTTTTTAATATACAAATTATAAGATAAAATGGATTAAAGAAGTGCATTGGATAGTGTGTAGAAATGAAATTGGACAAATATAGGGGGACGGAGGGAGTACCTTTTTTTCGCAATGTGTTAGATCATCCACACTAGTAATACGGTAACACCTCTCATTAGATGCTCAACTGTGGGCTTTATTTTAAAAATATTATTTTAGCATCTCTTTGAATATCTAAATGTTTTAATGGTGACACCTCGTTGAGATGCCTTAGACGAATCCTACTCACATACAACAATAATTTTTATTATTTTTTAAATTTTAAATTTTGATGTTATATATAGGAGTGTTAAATATGGAGTAATAAATTTTAATTAAACTATTTTTTTTTGAAAAAAATATAAATAATTAAAAATATTATTAATGACTTTTTTTTGCTAACTATTTTGATTAAAAAAATTAAAGACATGTTGGTATTACTAAAAACAAAATAGGGTGTCATATTTTTATAGAGTATTTATTTATTTATTCAATTTTTTGTGCAGATCAAACTCAATCAAATGAAACACAACTTCAAACAAATTTTTCATGGTATCACAACAAGTTAAAAAAATGAAAATAAAAAAAATTTGCGAAAATGGTTTGTTTAAAAAAATTGTAAAGATTCTTTTCAAAAAAAGAGACAATAATGGTATAAAATTGTAGCATCACTACACGTTAAAGAAATAAAAAGAAAAAAATATTGAAAATAGAATGTATTATTAAAAAAGACTTATTTTACAAAAAAAAAGGAAAAAAGAAAGAATGCACACATAATTTTGAATGCTAGCACCGGGTGCTCTATTGAGCATCTCTTACTTCTTTTTTTCTTTGAACATCTACTCTAAGCATCTATCTCCAATAGTAGCATCTATAAACATTCTCTTCTCTCTCCTTTGAGCATTTCCTTTGGGCATCCCATTGGAGATGGCCTTATGACGGTCCGGGTATCTCAAAGGCTTGATGGGGTTTGACGGAATATAAAGAAATATGATGTGAAGTGATAGAAACATGTGTGTTGTAGAATTTGAGTGAGGGTGTGAGTGCGTGACAAAAAAGGGATAGAATAAAGATGTGAATTATTTTGATTGATTTAAATTTAAAAATAAAAAAAGAATGAAAGGCAACGCCGTGATGAACATCACACGAAAAGGGGCCTCGCCCCTCCCAATGAATTGCCGGCGCCGTGCATTAGAACATGAGTCCGATAAGCAGAAGGAGTAGTCCAGGAATAGAAGTCGCATCAGATGGAGAGAAGAAGGAGAAGAAGTTCTCTTAGGGGGTGTTTGTTTTTTCTGCGGGAAAAGGTCTGCGGTCTGCGGACCACTACTGTAGACATCTGCAGGAGAAGTGGTGGACCGAAGGTCTGCGGTCTGTAAGAAGAAGACTGTTTGTTTTTTTAATGTCTGTAGACTGCTATATAAATTAATGGTGGTAGTGTACGGTGGTGGTGTATGGACGATTGTGGTGGTGGTGGAGGGTGGTGGTGGACGTTGACGGCAGTGGTGGTGGACGGTGGTGGTGGTGGCGGTGGATCGTGGCGGTGGTGGTGGATGACGATGGTGATGGACGGTGACGGTGATGGTGGACGGTGGTAGTGGTGGACGGTGGTAGTGGTGGACGGTGGCGGTGAACGGTTGTGGTGGTGAAGAGAGGTAGAAAAAAAGGAGAAGATGATAGAAGATGTTAGAAAACATTGGTTAATGTCTTCTCCAAGAAGATGTCAGGAAGACCTTTTTGAGTGAAATGTCTTCCAAAAAACAATCTGCATAGCCCATCATCTGCGCGCGTCTGCGCGGCGCAGACAAAAGACGCTAGAAGGTCTTCTGGCAGAAAAACAAACACCCCCTTAGTCAATTTTTAAGACGGAGGAGTAGCCCTTGTCAACAAATAACAAATGGGAAATGGTTGTATGACATACTCTCTCCTCCCCAGTTTTTGTCCACTTTTGACTTTTTGAACTGTTCATCTAAGCACTTTGACTCATCAAATTCTCTCAATGTATAAGCCTAAATATAGTCATGTGTGATCTTGTTTGATTTGTCTTAACATATAGATTATTAATATATAATTTCTATAATTTTTAATATACAAATTACAAGATAAAATGGATTAAAGAAATTCTTGGATGGTGTGTAAAAATGAAAGTGGACAAATACTCTGGTACGGAAGAAGTATCTCCTTATCAACCCGGTATAGTTGCGCCCAAAAACCTTTTTCTGGGAGATTTTCTTTGATGCCTTTGTAATCGAGAGGGCATCTATATCCCTCCATTTATTAAATGAGATTTGTACTTTTAGTGGCACCTAATAGTGTAAAAGTTTAATTAATAAGTTTCCATTAATTGTTAAAATTTGTTAAATAACCTCAATTTATGGGGAAGTTTGCATAAACTTATCCATTTTTGTCTAATTAATTTATAATACTATTACTCCATATTGATTATTATTTATCAACTATTTCTCTTTTTTTTACATTTCCTAGATAATTTTAAGTATTATTTTATTCAATAATTATTTCATTAACTATTCTTCGTCCTTGAGTATTTGTTCACTTTTGACTTTTTTGATCCAAACTGATAATTTTTTACCTCAAATTAAATAAAAGTGATGTTATTTATTTGATATAAATTTTTTTTATTAGATTTATATTATATAAAATATGTTTAAAATATTATTTTAATAAAAAATCATGTAAGTCACATAATGAATAATATTGTAGTAGTCCTTTTGATGTAGAAGATTAGAAGTAAATGGAGTTGTGTATTAGGTCCAAAAAATCTGATGCAAATGAGGGAAGTGATAGTAAGAGCACTAGAAATACACCTAACGCCTCGAGATGCTAGTGTAGGCATCAAACGCTTAACGCACGGAAAACCCAGTGGGGCCCTCTTCCAACGACATTATAGCGTTTTAACCTAAAAAAATTCTTTATTCCCTCTATACATTTTATATATTTTTTTAAAAAATAAGGACACACAACATCTTTCTATCTATCGTCTTCAAATTAAAAAAATTCTTCAAATTTTTTTCATCTTTTTAACATGAATCCTTTTGGTTTTAACGTTCCTTTTTCCACCTCGAGCCAAACGAGCAAGCGATTTTGATTTTCCAATCATACGGATATGATCCATCGATGTTCGATACGCAAAATTCGGTGAATCTCGAGAATCGGGAGTCAGTTCCAGAGACTCAACCAGAACAAAGTGCACCCAAAAAAAGTGCACGCCGGAAGAGTCACAGACTAAAGGGCGACAATCCGATGACCGAGGCAACATGGTCTATTCAAAAATGGATGGCAGAGGAAGAATCGTTGTTGGCGTCAACTTGGGTTGACGTCTCGGAGTATCATATTGTTGGTAAAATTTATGTTTTTTTATATATTCTATAAATGTTCTTTTATATATATTTGTGTTAAAATATTTTTTCATGCAATTATATATTTCTTAAAGATTTCGAGCAAACGAAAGATGCGATGTAAGATTGCATCGAGGAGAAGTTCTTTATGGAGATGAACAAAGACGCCTCCTACCAAACTCGAGACCAACTCACCTCCAAATGGGGCCACATCAACCGAAAAGTCTAAAATTTTATCAGAGTTTACGAGGAATACTCTCGGTTCCGGAAGAGCAGGACAAACGGTGCCGATATTCTGCAGTAAGCCACCGCCCGATATCAAGACGACAGACACCAAGGCAAGGTCCCTATCGATCTTTGGAGAATTTTAAGTCGTTAATCGAAAGGCCTCCCTTCAACTTAGATGACTCCGATGGCGGGGACTTAATTCCACAGCCAATCGGAAGGAAGAAGGCAAAATTCATTGCCTCGGATTTTGCAGAGCCTCACTCTGTTTGTTCTCACGACGATATCGTCCAGAGAATAGCTGAACAATTTCAGATGTTCAATATTAGGGAAGAAGAAAGGGAGAAAGAAGGCAAGAGAAGGCGGAGATCGAAATAATGGAAATTGACCTTTAAACATTAACGAGCTTCAAACATATAAGTTTGATAATGTATTTAATAATGTATTTTTATTAAATGTTCGTTTTAATTGAATGCAATTTTTTAATTAAATGATATATTGTCATTTTAATTTATTTAATTAATGAAGTTCTATTAGTTTAATTTTACAAAATGTGTGTTAAAAAATTTAAAATAAAGATTTAAAGTCTAAGTTTGAAGCCGTGGTCTTCAAACCTATTTCCAATGAAAGTTGTAGAAAATAATAATGGAGAATAATTTTGTATTGAATTGTCTTGGCGATTACAAAGATTCAACTCTCTTTATATAGATAGAGAGTCAAACAAATAAGTAAAGTTCTATTCCTACCATAATTCATAATTCTATTCCTACTATAACAAGAATAGGAAAACTATCAAACCCTAAAGCATATCCTAACACTCCCCCTCAAGTTGAGAATGAGGATCACGGATGAACAACTTGAATAATAAAACCTCGGGAAAAAATTGATAAATAACTTGAACTTGATCTGCTGTGACAACAACGAACGAAGGTGATTGGCCCTGCAAACGAACAATAAATTTTGATGACGAATGACTCTCATGCGGTGACACGGGGACGACTAACAAGCATCCCAAACTTGGAGGCCGTGTTGCCGGACTGAGGCGCGACTATGCGACCAACCTCACAAACAGATATGTCGAACTGAGGCGCGACTATGCGACCAACCTCACAACCAAACATGTTGAACATACAACTGGTTGCACTTGAACATACCAAATAGCAACCAAAAAAACAATGTCGCCAAAAACGTCATCAAATTTCAATGAACGACAGAGTGAACATAAAAACCTTCTTCCGCGGAGCGCGAACAAAACAAAACAAATAACCACTTTGGCAGATCAAACTTAGCAGACTCCAAACCAAAGTTTGGTTTTGTTTGGCGGGACATAACAAGCGGCAACGAAGAATAACAAAGGACGGTGGCGACGAGCATAAGGTTCCATGTTAGCAAACCGCAACTCACGGAGTAACAAACTCAAATCAAACTTTGAGGTGCCCAAACTTTTAGGCAAGGATAATCATCAACCTTTGTCTAGTAGAAGACAAATCACAAATACTACGTACATCCTAATTTTGAGGCACCAACACCAAATTTTTGCCAAACGGATACTGCTCTTGGACGACGAAACTGGGCTGCTCCACTGAGGCCACTGAGGCACTGATTATGTCTTGAAGATGATTTTTTTTTTTCGATTGGGTGAAAAAAAATAGGTAGTGGGAATAGAAGGTGATGCCGCCGTCGCCGGACAAACCACCGGCGACGGCGACCGCTGAAGCAACGATTTAGAGTAAACTAGGGTTTAGGTTCCCCGGTTGGCTCTGATACCATGTAGAAAATAATAATGGAGAATAATTTTGTATTGAATTGTCTTGGCGATTACAAAGATTCAACTCTCTTTATATAGATAGAGAGTCAAACAAATAAGTAAAGTTCTATTCCTACCATAATTCATAATTCTATTCCTACTATAACAAGAATAGGAAAACTATCAAACCCTAAAACATATCCTAACAAAAGTGTGACAAAAGTTAAAGTTAACGTGAGAGAGAAGTTTTGTATCCCTGAGGCCTCTCGGGTATTTCTAGTATTCTAAGCTCTGAGGCAGTGCTCGAGAGGTAAGCGACATATGCCTGCAAAATTTTAATTTTTCTTACAATGCGTGTCCAGCTAAACCGGGAAGTTAATTGTTAAACGATGGGAGTATGAATTCTAGAATCAGAGAAGTACAACACTTTGTTAATTGTTTTTATTGAAATCATATTAAATCAGAAATAAATTTATATATAATTTGAATATTATCATATACTCACTTCATCCCTGAATATTTGTCTACTTTTAATTTTTTTCGGTCAATATTGATAAAGTTTGACTTCAAATTAAATAAAAAGGATAGTATATATATTGATGTAAAAATATTTTTATTAGATTTGTAAAATCAGATGTTTTCAAATTATTATTTTATTAATTAATACACGATATATATTTTATGTAATTATAGTTGAAATGTTAAAAATAGTTAATCGAAAAAAGTTAAAACTTGACCAGAGTTAAAGAATAGAGGTCCTGAATTGGTAAACTTATGGCCCAAAATAATATTGGTCCAATATGTGCTCGAAGAGTGTAGAAGATAGAAGAAGGACCTGGATGCATGAACACGCTACCGCCCTCCTCCTTCCACGTCCGACTATAAATTCTAACCTCCTCCATCTCTCCATTTTCATCATCTACACAACAATTCTAATCAATCGCTTGATTTCAATTCTCCGCCGTGCCGAATCACCGTGAAAACATGTCTCTGATTCCGAGTTTCTTCGAGGGTCGCCGGAGCAACGTCTTCGATCCCTTCTCCATGGACCTCTGGGATCCGCTCTTCTCCAACACGCTGGCCAATTTCGCCGGCGAATCTGCTCGGGAGACGTCCGCATTCGCCAACGCCCGCATAGACTGGAAGGAGACGCCGGAGGCGCACGTGTTCAAGGCGGACGTGCCGGGGCTGAAGAAGGAGGAGGTGAAGGTGGAGGTGGAGNGCCGTGCCGAATCACCGTGAAAACATGTCTCTGATTCCGAGTTTCTTCGAGGGTCGCCGGAGCAACGTCTTCGATCCCTTCTCCATGGACCTCTGGGATCCGCTCTTCTCCAACACGCTGGCCAATTTCGCCGGCGAATCTGCTCGGGAGACGTCCGCATTCGCCAACGCCCGCATAGACTGGAAGGAGACGCCGGAGGCGCACGTGTTCAAGGCGGACGTGCCGGGGCTGAAGAAGGAGGAGGTGAAGGTGGAGGTGGAGGAAGGCAGGGTGCTGCAGATCAGCGGGGAGAGGAGCAAGGAGAAGGAGGAGAAGAGCGACACCTGGCACCGCGTCGAGAGGAGCAGCGGCAGGTTCCTGAGGCGGTTCAGGCTGCCGGAGAATGCCAGGGTTGATCAGGTCAAGGCCGCCATGGAGAACGGCGTCCTCACCGTCACCGTCCCCAAGGTCGAGCAGAAGAAGCCCGATGTGAAGAACATTCAGATCTCCGGCTAGATTTCCGGCCAGATTCCAAAAATCGCCGTTTGTTTTGTTCTTTTTTTGTCTTTTGAATAAAAATGTGTGAAGTGTGTCGTCGTCCTCGTCCTTGTCCATTCTCGTGCTGCAAGCGCCAAGCGTTATGAGCTATGGCGGTTTCTCTGTAATTTTCTGCCATGATAATGCATAAAATCGTTTGAGCTCTTTTGAAATTCCCCTGTTTTCTGAAAATGAATCAATGGAATGCTCATTTACTACTTTGATTTTGATTGATCACAAGAGAAGATGATGAATCGAGTTGAGATGAAATCCACAATGATTAGAAGAAGATTCATGTCAAATATTTGCACTAAATAACATTAAAACTTAAATCATTTCTAAATTGTTTATATATTAAATATTACTCTCTCCGTCCTGAAATATTCTTCACGTTTACTATTCACACGGTCAAACTTTAATCACTTTCTTTACCTATTTTCATTAGGTATTTGATAAAATAATATAGTCTTGTCACCACTTGTTTTGTAGAACTTTTGATGTAGTTTTTAAATATATAAATTTTCTGCGATAGTAATATATAAAATCGTTTGAGCTCTTTTGAAATTCCCCTGACAGTATCGATTCGTAGGAACAAAGATTTCTCTTCAACCTAGATAAGTCCGATGGCGTGGACCTCATTTTACGACACGCAAAATTAATTGTCTCGAAATCCCTAGAGACTTCAAGCGGATGCTTTACGAGATGGAGAGAGAGATAGAATAAGGTAAGATTAAAAGTTATCTTATTTGGGAGAGGATATAGAGGTAGGTAAATGGAGGTCATGGAAGGTAAAGTAATTCCGTAACAGTGGAATTAGGGATGACAACGGGTCGGGTTCAGTTCGGATATACTTTTACCCGAAACCGACCCGAAACTAAGATCGGTCATTTTTTTTGCCTGAATTCGAACCGTCGGGTGAGAGTTTCTACCCGAACCCGAACCCGACTATGTAAACAGAGGCCTGATACCGCAACCGACCCGACTAACCCGCCCGACCCGACCGAGGAACTACATGAAGTGAATACATGAGGAACTACAAGAAGTTATGGAAGTCAATCCGTAAAGAAGAGGGCCTGAGCGGCTTCCGGTAAAGCAGTGGATGAATCGCATGGCGGATTGACCGGAAACTTCAATCGCCAGAGAGTCGATGGATGAGGAGTTGAAGACGGCTGGAGTGCTGGACGAGTGGAAGACGGCTGGAGTGCTGGACGGTTGGGTAATGGGGAGTGACTTACGGAGTATATTTTTGTCGGGTCGGGTCGGTCGGGCACGGGTCGGGTCGGTCATATTTAATGACTTGAAACCGACCCAACAAAGGTCGGGTTCGGTTTTAATTTTCTTGGGTCGGTTTCGGATATTAAATTTCTCGGTTCGGATTCAGATATTTTAAGCTTCGGTCGGGTCAGTAAAAGTCGGATTCGGGTACAATTGCCATCCCTAAGTGGAATATAGTTGTCCGCCAATTCTGCGGGCAACTGAAGTAAAATTTACGCCTTCCTTCTCCTGCCCTTTTGTTTTCTTCTCTCCCTTTTTTTCTTTCTTCCACTCCAGTTCAGCTCTCCCGGGCCTCCTCCCATCTACGGTTCTTCTTCTTTTTCTTCTTCTTAAAATACAATGTTTGAAATTGATGTTAAAAAAATTCATATTTTTTTCATCTGTTTGTTGAAATAGAATGTTTGCAATTGATGCAATTTTTTTATTACATTTAACTTATAAATATTTATCAAAATATTATTTAACGTAATTAGAATATTATATAATTTTATGTATAAGGTCAATTATAATCGACGGAAGCTACTTCAAGAAATGAATAAAGAAAATCAAGAACAAGGATGTTTAAGTAATTTTATTGTTTTACCTACCTCACATTATCTAATAAATATTCAAATACAAATTTTTAACTTGTTACCTTATTTTACCTACCTTCCATTACCTACAATTACCTACCTAATAAAATTTTACCTCCTCAATCCAAACATACCCTAAAAGAGATCATTGCTAAATATAATTTGCCTTATTGTTTTATTAATATGTTTTTTATTAAATATTCTTTTTTAATGAATGTAATTTTTTTATTTAATAAATTATTGTCATTTAAATTTAACTATTTAATGACGTTTTATTAATTTAATTTTACAAAATGTATATTAAAAAATTAAAGTTTGTAACCCCAGTTTGAAGCTTTGGGATTTCAAGCACATATTTCTAGTAAAAATGTGAGGTAAATAAAAGCTGACATGGTAAAGAGAAATTTGGAAGCCCCGATTTGAAAACCTGGGGATTCACGAGTATTTCCAGTGCTCTAATCCTCGCTATTTCCCATGCAGGTGTTTAAAGGGTGATTTCTGGATGAGTGGAGATTTTGAAAATTGTATTCCCAAGTGGTGAAAGTAAAGAGTGATTGCTATTTGTGTTGGAAGAAGATAGTCCACAATAAAAAAAAGGGGGTTGAACAAATAAAATGAATGTGATGAAGGAATACACCACAGGTAGGGGATGTTGGGTTTGAAGGGCAAACCTCCCTCGTATCCATCCATATACGTTTGGGATGAAGTTATCCATTCGAAAACATCATCAGTTTATTATTCAGAGGCTCATCTGTAAAGAAAGAGTAAGCATGCACCAAAGCAAGACTTGCGCAATTTATGGATACTAATAAAACCTATGAGCTGACATATATATAAGATTGAGGGTGAAGGGCATTAGACAAAATCTGATGACAACAAGCTATAAGCTCATATGCAATAGTTTGTTATACTCTATGGAAGGCAAGGAATAAATGGTACCATGCCAAGAAGAATTGTGACAGGAAGAGGAGATGTTGGATTGGGTTAAATTCAATACTAAGAAAGGAGAAGGAAGTAGATACCTAAGTCAGTTATTAGTTTGGGTAGTGTAATGCCATATGGTTAGGTGGTGATTTACAATATTGTAAACTTGCTTGGTTAGTTTGAATGGAGTTGTGCATTTGTTTCAACAAAAAAGAATATTATGAATTTATACAAACCATATTGGGACATGTCGTCTCCTAGCCATTTCAGATGCTAAAGATGAAAGCCTCTTTATATATAATAATCTTTTAACTTAGATTGGTCACTATTAAGTCTCTTACGAATAATGGGTCATTTATATTTTTATCGGGCCTGCACTAGTTTACAGACTACCTTATTCCCGTCAATACATGCTAATTAATGACTTCAATTAAACTTAGGTTGATTTCACATGGAATTTGGGTGTATTAAAATTGGAAAGTGCTCATTTGACTTCAAGATTTTTTTGAGGATAACTACATACTCCCCCGTCTCACTCTCTTTGTCCACTTGTCTTTTGGCACACCATCCAATGCACTTCTTTAATCCATTTTATCTTCTAATTTGTATATTAAAAAATTATAGAAATTATATATTAATAATCTATATGTTAAGACAAATCAAACAAGATCACACATGACTATATTTAGACTTATACATTGAGAGAATTTGATGAGTCAAAATGCTTAGATGAACAATTCAAAAAGTCAAAAATGGACAAAAGTAAATTATAAGACCAGGATACCACTTCTTTAGAAAAGATCTTTTGTAATGATATTTTTTTTCTCTAGGGATCTTTCTTTGTTTAGATAAGATCTTTCTTTGTCCAACCAAAACAACTTTAAAAAGAACATAAAATGTTTAACACTTGAAAAGTTGATTATTTTCTTCCCCTTATTTAAATTAGGAGCATACTACATGTAGCCTAAAATTTATACACCAAAGGTATACCAACATTTTGATGGTTCACACTGACACAATGTGTTGGTGTGTTAACAAAAATTTACACTGACACAAAGTGTTGGTGCGTTAATAAAAATTAGCATTACACCCTCAATCCTTTATGAGCGTGTGGTTCACCCTGTGTCTTTTTCAAAAAGGAATGTTTGTCTCCAACTTAACCCCTTCATACCAATTTATACTCCATATTGCTTATTTCAATATTTCAATTTATGACATTTGACACAAAAATTTAATAAGGTATGTGTATCTTTAATAGAGAATTCTACTACGAAAATTAAATGGGAGAGTGAGTATGGGAAACACTACATACCAAGTCTTGGAGCAACAACCCAAATACAAAGTTTGTACCATACAAAACACTTCTTGGTTCTTACATTCCACACTCTCAACTGTGTAGGGTAGTTACCCTATCCATCCCTCTTTTGGAAGAGGACGATCAAGAAGATAATGATGAGGAGGTTGTGGCCAAGGTGGGAGACGCCGGAAGAAGAAGGGCTTTACACCGTGTTTGAAATGCCCATGCCGCCGGAACAAATTCTCTACTCATCATCATTGTCTACTAATCCCAAGAACCTGAACTCCATTCTTTCCGGCGGAAAAGCTTCTGACTCCGGCGATGAAATCCAGCTCCTGCTCGGCGTCATTGCCGCTCCTCTCGTCTCTCATCCAATCTTCTCCCCCCGCTCCGCCACCAAGATCATCAATGTTTATCCCTTCGTAAGCACTCGGCCGGTTTTCCTTCGTCTCTCGAAAAAACAGGTTTTAATTTACCTAGTTAAAGATGTCTTTTTGCAGGAGATGTCAATGGCTCAGTACATAGTGCAACAGTACATTGCCGCGGCCGGAGGAGACGATGCTCTGAACTCCATTGCCAGTATCTACGCTATGGGTAAGGTCAAGATGGCGGCGGCAGAGTACACATTCTGCGGCGGGGAAGATGCCGCCGGTTCGGAGAAGAGGTTGAGAAAGAAGAGGGTCAAGAATGACGGAGAGATCGGCGGCTTCGTGTTGTGGGAGAAAAGGCCGAACCTTTGGAGCCTGGAGATGCTGGTCTCCGGCTGCAAAATCGCCGCCGGCAGCGACGGGAAGGTGGTGTGGCGGCAAACTCCGTGGCACAGATCCCACGCTTCCCGCGGCCCGCCCCGGCCTCTCCGTCGCACATTACAGGGGTTGAACCCCATGTCGACGGCGGCTCTGTTTTCCAAATCCACCTGCTCCGGCGAGACCTCGGCGAACGGAGAAGACTGCTTCGTGCTGAAGACTGAAACCGAGGCCGCCGTTCTGAACGCGAGGAGTACCCGTAAGCTGGAGATAGTCAACCACACGGTCCGGGGGTATTTCAGTCAAAGAACCGGCCTGCTCGTCCGGCTCCGGGACACTCAGATCATGAAAATCAGGTCGCCGGGAAACAATGACGTCACCTGGGAGACGAGCATGACGTCGACGATCGCTGACTACCGTCCGTTAAACGGAGTCAACGTCGCTTACGGCGGAAGAACCGTGGTTTCCCTGTGCCGGATCGGCGGGAACTCGAGAGGTCGCCGCGCCGTGACGGCGATGGAAGAGGTGTGGAGCATCGAGGAAGTGGACGTCAACGTTAAGGGGCTCTCTGTGGACTTTTTCTTGCCCCCGGCTGATTTGAATAATAGAGAAGAATGAATGAAAATTGAAAAAAAACAGAAAGTAATCTAAATTTAAGAAATCAAATAAAGTACAATTTTATTGTTGGTATATCTTCTCATTACAATTCTTATTATTCCCTTTACAATTCTGTGCCAATTTTGTCATTAGTAAAAAAAGAGTAAATTCTATAAAACGTCTCCAGTTATAGGACGTTTTATATATTTAGTTCCTACATATCAAATATTACTAATTTAGTTCTCAATTATTATATTCATTTATACGAATGGTCTTTTGTTAACATTTCCGTTAACAACATGGATAAAATTGTAAATTTACACTCTTTTCTCTCCTCAATTAAGCTTTCTTTCTCTCCTCACACTCCTTTACAAAATTTGTCGCTGAGTTTGAAACTTTGAACTCAAAACTAAATCATCACTCTTTTCTCAATTGTTTGTCTAACTGGTGGAACCCAAATTCGAAACCAATAACCTTCATGGATGAGTTTTAATGTTTATTTTCTTTGCAATTTCTTGAGACTAATCGATAAAATTCATCCATAAAGTTTATTGGTTTTGATTTTAGGTTCCACTAGGAATACTAATAGTTGAGAAAAAAATAATCATTTCAGTTTTGGATTTAGAGCTCCAAACTTAGCAACGAGTTTGGAAAAGAGTACGAGAGAAGAGAAGAAGCTTAATTGAGGAGAGAGAAGTATGAATATACAATTTTATCCATATTCTTAACAAAAACGTTAACAAAGAACCATTCGTGAAAAATGATATAATAATTAGGACTAAATTAGTAATATTTGATATGTAGAGACTAAATGTATAAAACGACCTATAACTGGGGACCTTGTTTGGAATTACTCAAAAAAAACTCATCTCCGTGAGTCCTCAGAACTAGTCGGACGGTCACTGAGAAGAGTTAAAAATAACTATAATCACAAATTAGTGGCGAAGAATAGAAATTGCACCTGATACTTACAGAGATTCTATACTTAGCATAGTTGCTGCAGTTGTCAGAAATCTAACTTCGGTCGAATTTCGCCATTAGTTAATGGGCAAAAATTGATTTCAAATTAAGGGAATTAACGTAAATAATACTAAAACATGACTTTTCTAAATCGCAACACGTGTATTTTTTTCCCAGTGTAACACTTTTAGTCATTGCTTAAGTAATGTTTATTACTCCCTCCGTCCTATAATGATCTTCCCGGTTCGCAAAACGAAGAAAAATCCCAAGTTTTTTCAATCTATTTTATTTAAATATTGGTATAGAAATAAAAAATAAAACATACATATTTAAAAACTATACCAAAAGTTCAATAAAATAAGTGCTGACAAGAATATTTTATTTTATCATATAGGCCATGAAAAAACACAAATAAATATAAATTCCCGTGAAGTTGGAATAGTGCTCTGGAAATATCATTATAGGACGGAGGGAGTATTAAGTACTAATATTTAATATATAAACAATTTAGAGAAATAATTTAAGTTAATGTTATTTAGTTCAAATATTTGACATGAATCTTCTTCTAATCATTGTGGATTTCATCTCAACTCGATTCATCATCTTCTCTTGTGATCAATCAAAATCAAAGTAGTAAATGAGCATTCCATTGATTCATTTTCAGAAAACAGGGGAATTTCAAAAGAGCTCAAACGATTTTATGCATTATCATGGCAGAAAATTACAGAGAAACCGCCATAGCTCATAACGCTTGGCGCTTGCAGCACGAGAATGGACAAGGACGAGGACGACGACACACTTCACACATTTTTATTCAAAAGACAAAAAAAGAACAAAACAAACGGCGATTTTTGGAATCTGGCCGGAAATCTAGCCGGAGATCTGAATGTTCTTCACATCGGGCTTCTTCTGCTCGACCTTGGGGACGGTGACGGTGAGGACGCCGTTCTCCATGGCGGCCTTGACCTGATCAACCCTGGCATTCTCCGGCAGCCTGAACCGCCTCAGGAACCTGCCGCTGCTCCTCTCGACGCGGTGCCAGGTGTCGCTCTTCTCCTCCTTCTCCTTGCTCCTCTCCCCGCTGATCTGCAGCACCCTGCCTTCCTCCACCTCCACCTTCACCTCCTCCTTCTTCAGCCCCGGCACGTCCGCCTTGAACACGTGCGCCTCCGGCGTCTCCTTCCAGTCTATGCGGGCGTTGGCGAATGCGGACGTCTCCCGAGCAGATTCGCCGGCGAAATTGGCCAGCGTGTTGGAGAAGAGCGGATCCCAGAGGTCCATGGAGAAGGGATCGAAGACGTTGCTCCGGCGACCCTCGAAGAAACTCGGAATCAAAGACATTTTTTGAATTCAAAACCAGAAATGNCCTCCACCTCCACCTTCACCTCCTCCTTCTTCAGCCCCGGCACGTCCGCCTTGAACACGTGCGCCTCCGGCGTCTCCTTCCAGTCTATGCGGGCGTTGGCGAATGCGGACGTCTCCCGAGCAGATTCGCCGGCGAAATTGGCCAGCGTGTTGGAGAAGAGCGGATCCCAGAGGTCCATGGAGAAGGGATCGAAGACGTTGCTCCGGCGACCCTCGAAGAAACTCGGAATCAAAGACATTTTTTGAATTCAAAACCAGAAATGAAAGCGATCGATTGGAATACAGATGAGATTTGGGAATTGGATTGTTGTATGGATGAGGAAAATGGAGGAGAGTGACGAGGCAAAGTATTTATACAAAGCGGAATTGGAAGGCGATGAAGGTTCCAGGTTCTTCTTCTGTGTTCTATACTGTTCCAGTACGTGCTATAATATTCGCGGTTCCAAGCCCATGCCTTACGAGGCCCAAACGTATGCTTGCGAAAGTAGGCCATACCCGTACCAATTAACTACTGGGCGGCCCAGTCTGCGGCATTTTTTTGGCTACTATATTCCAAATTAAAAGACATTTTTAACGAAAGTGCATAAACGGAATTTGATTTGAAAAAATAGTGATGACCATATACCAAGGGTTTCTCAAATAAATAGAGAAAAAATTTTAATGGTGCAGATTACTTTGAAAACGTTAACGCAAAACACTGTTTGTGGGTAGTTTTTTCAAAATGTTAACGTTATTCTCAAATAGGTTCGAGAAATGAAATTTCATTTTGAGACACATTAATGATGGATAGAGTAAGTTAATGGTTTTATTTGTTTCCAAATAATTATCTCATTTTCCTTTTTAAATCTTTTTAATTTAGGGCCGATTTGTTGATCTTGAGGATATAATAAGATATTATTTTGAAACCTAGAGAAGTGAGATGAGTTTTGAAATTTAAAACGAATGTGTTTAGAAGATTTACAATCATGATTTAATTAGTGAAAGCGGAGATGGCCAGAAATGATTCATTCCCTCCGCGACGATTTGATACATCATATTTGGTTCATGTCGTGTAATTTTTTTAATTCTAATTTTTTTCATAATTATTTCTTAATTATGTTTGATAACTACTTTTCAATTTGGCCCTATATAAGGTCCGGTTTTTGATTAACCGGTTATCAAATGTATTCGTATATTCTAATTTTCTTTTTGTTTTATTGTTTTATAACGATTTAACATAACGAGCATGTTACGGATACTGCAAAAAAACATCGGGAAGGTTCAAGTGATATTGGAGGGCAATGTGACTTGGGGGCCCTATGGTGCTCCGTTCGTAAAATTGACGCTTCCTACCCCTAACTTTCCCGGTAAACCCCCCCACCTAGACCCGACTCGAACACACCCCCACGGGTTAAATGCGTGCATATATAAATAAAAGCAAATTTATCTTGCAAAACAATCTCAATTCTATTAAAATTTTGTTTATTACTCGTTTGGAAGATTCGTTAACTCAATTAATTCATTTGGTAAACTAAATTATTTCACAAAATGTCTTTTTTTATTGATTAATAGAATAAAAAAATCGGTCCGTTTAGCATCACAAGATTTAGAAATTAGTGTTAACATTTAGAAAAGGTTATCTGAGGATGACATTCAGCGTTAATACTAACGATAATAAAAATTGTTGTTCCTAAACAAAGTCTTCATTTGTCTAAAAAGGTATGCCACATTACGCAAAATGAAATTTTATATTTTTTTGAACTCATTTCAAAAAAATTAAAATTGCACAATTGAAAACTAAACGAAAAATTTTACAAAACAAAATACGAGAAGAATATATAATTTTATCAATTAATGAATGACAAAATTATATATTCTTCTCGTCTTTTGTTTTGTACTCTCTCCGTCCCTGAATAAACTTCTCTTTTTGACTTTTTGAGGATTTAAGGGAGGGATATTTTTGTGTTGACTCTTCAAAAATACCCTTAATGTGATGTGTAAAAGTAAGATGTGATATGTGGATTATTAGTAAAAAGATATGATGTGATAGGTAGTGTATGAAAAAGTAAGGGGTAAAAGGAGTTTTTTAAGGGAAAAGAGATGTTTATTTGGGGACAAAGAAAAAATAAAAGGAGAAATTTATTTAGAGAAAGATAGAGTATAATTTTTCACATAGTTTTCAATTGTGTATTTTTTATTTTTTTTGCTCTGCAGAGATTGATGTTTGGCAACAATAATAATACTCCCTCCGTCCGAAAATAATCTTCTCGTTTCTCCTTTTTCCCCGTCCGGAAATAATCTTCACATTTCTAATTTTACCCACAATCCTTTCAAAAATACCCTTATCATTTAATTTTCATTACTCTCTCAAACCATCCCACTTCCCCACCCACTTGCACGCATTACTCTCTCTCTCTCTCTAACCCCCTCACCTCCCACCCAGTTACACTCATTCACTTATCTCTAAATCTTATCTTCTTTCTCTTTTCGAAAACCATTCCTCTCTCTCTAGATCTACATCTCTTTCATCTGCATGACCTCTTCATCTACCTCATCAGAGGAATCGCATGAGTTATTTTACGAATCTTATATTTCTGAAACGGAATTTGAAAATGGTGGAAGTGAAGATTTTGAGGTGATTGCCGAGGATTTGATCTCTGACGACAAGGAGGAGAACGAGGTCATCGTCATTGACAACGACGATGATGGTGCCGATGTTGCCCCGGTCAGAGAGAAGGAGGTAATCGACCTTACCTCGGATAAAGATGATGTTTTCTCCTTTTCTCTTTCTCCCGGAGAAGATGGTGGCGGTTAGGGATAATAGTGCGACTGATGGTGAGTGGTAATGTTGGGCTGAGGGGCGATTG